TCTGAGGTTTGAAAGTCTGATCACTGCTTCTCTTTCTCTGGGTCTGTTTTTGTTCATCAGTTTATATTGTTCATTATTTCCTCTGGGTGTGTGGGATCATGTGATCCAAGAAATACCCTTATAAGAACTAAAACTGAACCAGGACCGGTTTGGCTCAATGGATAGAGCGTCGGCTTGGGGACTGAAGGGTCCCGTGTTCGATTCCGGTCAAGGGCATGTACCTTGGTTGCAGGCATATCCCCAGTAGGGGGTGTGCAAGAGGCAGCTGATCGATGACTCTCTCTTATCGATGTTTCTAACTATCTCTCTCCCTTCCTCTCTGTATAAAATCAATAAAATATATATTTTTAAAAAAAAGAACTAAAACTGAGACAAGCCATAATGGTTATGCTAAAAGGCAAATGAATCAGTCTGTAGTCTCACATAATTTTCAATGGGTAGTCTATAGCAGACATGCTTGTTCTAGGCCTTCATGTGCACCAGAAATACATGTAGAATACTCACATGAGTCTTCAATTAAATTAAGTAAATAGCTCATGACTGCTCAGTGTTTAGCACAATGTTAAGCATCACAGGAGATATAAAAGAAATATTGGATTTTTTCTCTGTACTCAAAACATTTAAATTCATTCATATATTCATTTAGATGAGCATCTAAATTTTTAATATCCAGTTTAGATGTCCCAGAAGTTTATAATCTAATGGGGGGGTGGGGAATGGTAAGATACACAAATAGAAAGTAAAATGGCAATGTTTGTGTTTTATGTGTAATTAATAATATCCATCAGAAAACAAATGTTAAGATGATTAAAATGATAAAATCATTTTTAAGGTGTCACAGGGTAGTGTGGCCTGGCCAAAAAGAATTAAGAGGAAGGCCCTGGCCAGTGTGGCTCAGGTGGTTGGGTGTCATCCAGTGCACCAAATGTCACCAGCTCGATTCCCAGTCAGGGCACATGCTTGGGTATGGGTTTGATTCCCCAAAAGGGGGTGGGGGGTGTTTCTCTGTCATATTGATGTTTCTCTCTCTCACCCTCCATTCCTCTCCAAAATCAATAAAAACATACTTTAAAAATTTGCCCTGGCTGGTGTTGCTAAGTGATTAGAGCATTGGCCTGAACACCAAAGGGCTGCAAACTCAATTCCCAGTCAAGGGCTTGTACCTGAGTTCAGGTTCAATTCCCAGCCTGATTGGGTTGGCAGTGGTGACAGCAGGAGGGTAGGAGAGGAAAAATATGTAAAAAGATAGAGTTTTGACAGTTAAAAGCAGTTTTATATTTTATATATGTAGAGATGTCTGGAATGTTTACCTATGGGTAAAAATAGAAGTGTTGGAATTTTGAATAACCTTTAACAAAATCAGAAATGAAAGAGGTGAAATAAAAACAGACCCCCACAAAAATAAAAAGGATTGGTAGAAAATACTATGAACAACTCTATTCCAACAAACTGGACAACCTGGAGAAAAGGGACAGATTCCTAGAAAAATATAACCTTCCAAAACTCAATCAGGAAGAATCTAAACAGCTCAATAGGCCAGTAACTATGGAAGAAATTAAAGCAGTCATTAAAAAGCTTCTGGACAATAAAAGCCTGGGGCCAGATGGCTTCACAGGAGAGTTTTACCAAACATTCAAGGAAGAACTAAAACCTGTCCTCCTCAGACAAATAAAAAATACCAAGCAACAATAACAACAAAATAATAAGCAAATTAATCTCACTAAAAAGCATAAAAATTCAATATAATCAACATTCACGCAAACAACAACAAAAGGACAGAAAGGAAAACAGTTTTTTTAATTTTTTTTAATAGTTAAGATAGCGAAGAGAGTGGTATGTATGCACTTGGAGCAGGGGGGTTGGAAATTAGGTATATTAAGTAGGGTGAAAATTTTAGCAGGGGGTCTACAGAAAGAATAGGGAAAATCTAAAGCAGGAAAGGGTTAAGATAAACAGGACAACAAAAGGGGAAAGGTTAGGAAGAGAGTGATGGAGTAAAGATCGAGTTGAGATAGGGTTGAACAATGCTATAGTAGAGATGAAAATAGAATGAAGAACACTAATCCCAATGTAAAATAAAGAGAAAATAAAATGGTATTTAAGAGGAAAAAAAAAAGAAAAAGGAAACAAAAAATGCAAAATAGCAGTAGTAATAATGATGGTTGCAACTAAAAAATGTAATAATTAAAAAGGTAAAATCAAATGAGGAAAACAGAAAAAAAAATCATTTCTTAAGTAAAAAATGTAAAAAATGAAAATAAAATAAAAGGTGTAAAAAATGAAAATAAAATTAAAAAATATAAAATTAGCATAAAAATGTGCTGTAGTAAAGGTCATTCACTTCACCTGTTATTCTATTTGGCACGCCTGTTTCTCAGTCCAGACAGTATTGCAGTTCCCTGCATTCCACTGCACCTCAGTTTTGTAAGCTAGTCCTTAATTTATTTTTTTTAATATATTTTATTGAATTTTTTACAGAGAGGAAGAGAGGGGGATAGAGAGCTAGAAACATCGATGAGAGAGAATCATCGATCAGCTGCCTCTTGCACACACCCTCCTGGGGATGTGCCTGCAACCAAGGTACATGCCCTTGACCGGAATCGAACCCGGGACTTTTCAGTCCACAGGCCGACGCTCTATCCACTGAGCCAAACCGGTTTCGGCATAGTCCTTAATTTTAAGTAGGCTATTTGTTAGTTACTCGTGTCCTTTTATTTTCGTCCCCGATTTTTAACAATTTGTCCCACGTCCCTTGGTGTTTGATTAAAATAATAAAAAGTCAGTTTGTAATTCAACCCCTAGGTGGCAGTGTTTCTGGATTGACTTCTCTGTCTTTTTGGCTGCTCTAGCCTTCTTTCTCTATGGCATTCTCTATGGTTTGTGAAGGTGGGCTGCCCTGATGTTGGTTCCCAGATGGTCTCTTCCTGCTCTGATCCCCTGTTTCCAGGAAGGCAATTTCCCCTTGCAGTCTCCCAGGATATGCCAAACTGGGTAGTTTTTGCTTAGTACTCAGAGCAAAGGGATGAAGGGGAACAGGCACAGGATGGGCTTGTGCTAAGGTGACCAGATGTTCCACTTTTGGTAGGACAGTCCCAATTTTTAACAGTTTGTCCCACGTCCCTTGATGTTTTAAAAAAGTCACGATTTTTGGAAAGATCACGCCAGACCCAACAGCTGCTGCCACTTTCGGAGCCACCTTGGCTGCACAGCCACCGCAGCCACTTCCACCGCAGCTGGGACCCAGATCCCTCACATTATCCCTGGCAAACTCTGATCTTTCCATGGGTGATTGAAGAACTCCCTTGAATCCACGTGTTTGTTCCAATTGGGGCATCACAGCTGTTCGGTGGTCTCCACTGTTGTGGGTTTTTCAGGCTTCAGATAAGATCCTCTTTTCTTTGCAAGATGGAGTAGTTTTCCCCCTGAGCCCGTAGCTCTGGGAGAGGTCTCCACCGTCGCAGTGCTGGCTGCTTGGTCTGGAAATCCTGTCCACCAGTCCCCCACCTTCTCTTAGAGTTCTGCTATCCCTTAGATTGCTAACTAACACTCCCCGAGGGACTCTAAGACACTCCTTCTATCTGTTCTGGGACTAGGCTCAGAACAGGTCCATCTGTTTGGCCCACATTTTCCTTCTCCTTGAGTCTCTTTTATATAGATGACAAAATTAGATAACTTGATGTTTACAGAACAATTCTATACCTGGTCTCTAACTTAATCAAATCTAATTTAACTCCAAATTCTCCATTTTTCAGAAGTAAAATATTATTTACTTATTATATTCAACAAGAATTAACATTCTTGAGCAAGATAATTTCATGAGGATGTAAGCCAGTAGGAATAAAGCATGGGGTTTTCAAAGGTATAATATTAAGCATTATTAATATTACTACTGATTTTCATAATAATAAATGTTGTAGGGCTGAAAATATACAAAAATTATAAAAATTAGGTTAGAAAATAAACATAAATTTAGATGAATAGGTTATATTTGAAATGCCTATATTTCCCATATGGCATTGATAGTTTCAGTTTTTAGCCATTTTACTTAAGAGTTGCAAACCTTCCACCCAGAAAAACTCACCAGATATTATTTTTTCATGTGATTTCACGGACTTGGTGGATGCCCAACCCACCCTCAAGCCCACAGGACCTTCTAGAGGTCTACAGGCTCCAGGTTATGAATTCTAGCCCCAGGTTTTCCAAAAGTTCCCTTGCTAGAAAACATTTTAAAATAACTTCTTTGAGAATTTGTTCTCAACATGAGACTTCAACGTTTTCAGAGGAAAACAGTTAACCATCAAGGATTGCTGATATAAAACTGAGCGATAAAAAATAGTGCTTCATGAAAGGCAAAAATGTACTCATATAACCATGATTCATGACTCATAATTGTACAAACAGAACTATATGGAAGAAAAAAGAGGAAGCAAATACTTCAAAATGGATCTGACAAAGATTTTCCCAACAGGGTAATTGTTTAAACTGGTTGACAGTTTAAGCATAAGGAGACTTCTACAATTGTGGTGTAGGTATAGCAGATATTTCTTAAATCTTGACTTAAAAAGTATATCTTGCTTTTCTATGTGGCTCAGTGGTTGACCACTGACCAATGAACCAGCAGGTCACTGGTTGATTCCCAGTCAGGGCACATGCCGATTATGGACTCAATCCCCAGGGTGGATATATATCCTATCTAATAAAGAGGAAATATGCTCATTGACCATCACACCCTCACAAAGATGGCAACATCCACAGCCACAAGATGGCAGCATCTAGTCCCTTCAGCCCCGCCCATGAGGGCTCCCAGACTGTGAGAGGGGGCAGGACAGGCTGAGAGAAACCCCCTCCCTCCAGTGCATGAATTTTCATGCACCGGACCTCTGGTAGATGTACACATACCTAACATATGCATTTTCACTAGCATCCCAACTTGGTCCTTTTGACAAATGATCTCATGTCACAAACAGTTCAAGCAAACTCCAGGGGATGAGAGGACATGCCACAGGCAGAGGCTGGACAGTGGCTTGTCACTCCTTTGATCATTACCAGTATTTGACAGCCTGCAGTTTATGCATACCTGACTGGGTAGATTAATGGATTATATAATTTAGCTGGTATTAAACCTCTCTTCACCAAATAGCCAAGTATCTTTAAAAGATGCCTGCAAAAAAACTGGATACTGAAAATATATACAAGCAACAGAAAATAGCAGAGTTCTACTCTGGTATGAGTCTTCACCAACTACATTAGAAAATAAATCAGAGGCAATGTGACCACAAGTTGGACATACAATTCAAAATTATCAAGACTATTGAGTTACACTTTACATAGTAATTGACGATAAACAGTGCACTGTGTGTACGTTGTCCCATGAGATATTAGTTAAGGCCATATTAAATCATTCTAACTAACAGAACATTTTACTGGTTGAATAACACCATTTCTTCTACCCTGCAAAACTTTGGATTTGAAACATTTGGGAGGAAAGAGAGCAAAGGAACACTAAAACCTCCATTTCAAAAGAAGGACGTGGCCAGAAAGGTCAATAAACTTTTATAATTTTTGAAGTAATTCAAGCCCAGACCTACTGAGCAATAGAGGTTAAAACCAGCACTTAGAAGAAAAAGCAAGATGTTCCATATATATATAATTCCAGTGCACACCTAACCCCAGGGCTGATCAGTTCTCCACAGGCTTCCATGGCTAGATCCTCAGCAAGAGTGCTTCACAGCACTCTCAGTCAGCATGAACATGGACTTTTTTAATGGCTAGAAAAGGCCACACCGCTAGTAACATTTGTAGCTATGCAAAGTAACATAATAAGGGTAATCAAATATCATGCTTTGGCTAGTAAGCTGATCTAAACTGGGTATCATAAAGGAATGCTATCCCCCTCCTCTGAAAGAACACAAGTGAGCATTTGGGCTGGTTCATTATCAAAGGACTTGCACAAGGCACAGCCTTTGTTTGATTCTAGACATAATACAGGAGTGAGAATCTGGTTCCTAACAAAGTCATAAAATGTGTGTGGGGTTTTTTTTTTGTTTGTTTGTTTGTTTTTTTTATTATAAGAACTATGTGAAATTTGTCCATAGCACTCACTTTCCAGAGTTTATTGTTCATGATGTGTTTATTTCTTTAAGAAGAGCTACAGTGTATTTATTCTGACACATATAAATAAACTTAAATGTTTGACTGCTTCCCAAAGCTGAGCTTTCTACTTAGGTTTAAGAGCTCGGGTCGCTGCAAAGGGGAGCATACTTAACTTTTTAAAAGCTGGCCTCTTTTAAGAAAACTCAGAATATTTAATTCGTTGGCACTAAAACCTATGCAAATTGCCAGCAGTATCAGTAACCAAGTTTCCTAGACATGCATCATTTAAGACCTTCTCAGCTTTACACGGGCTGGGAACTGCTTGTTTTCTGTTTTACTAAAAAAAAGAGCTAAAATAAGACTGCCGCAGCTTCCCGGGTAAAAATATATGATTCTCAATCAACTTCAGAAACCACTGAAAGTGCTAAAGTGAAAGACAGCATGCTTATCTGTACACTATTTATAAGGGAATTATCTTTATGAAAGTCTCTAGCTTCTTCCAAAATTCAATAAAACACTGAAGAAAGCTTTCAAGCAAAAGCACTATCTCCAGGTACTTAACAATGGAAAGAGCAAAAGTAAAAAGAAAGGTAATTTAGATATTTTCTACAGACCAGATGCTTGCATAGATCTTTCCATATCCCTTGTACTAGCAATATTCCCTATTACCATTTTTTGTTCAATGTATCGGTGGAATCCCTTTAACAAAAAGAGTAGTTTTGTTTATTCATGATTAAACTATGGACTGGGAGAGCTGTTTCATCAACTGAAAGAATCAGGCTTGGAAGCAATAATACACATACATCCTAGATGGCATTGAAAGAGTATATTCAGCCACTTCCTCATTTTTCTAGGACTTGGTTTGTATATCTAAAGGAACATGAAAGCCAAATCAAAATTATAAATTAAAAAAATTTACCCACTCCTAAATAAACCTAAACAGTCTTTACTTACCTAACAAGTATTGCTTAAGGTGGTAGTTTTTTTAAACAGAAAAATTAAAAGAAAATTAAGAATTATGTGATCCTTTCACCATGTTTACTATTTGCATTGTTTATGCAAAGTACAATCCCAAAAGTAAAAAATGCCCTAGAAAACATACAAACAATTTATCTCAATTTAATAATTATTAAATAAAAAGCAGCTCTAGAATCTGAGGTTAGATTATTGCTATTAACCTAAGGGAAATTTCTGCATACCTGCTTCTGTTGGTCTTGTCACCTGAGATTTGGAGGTCCAAGAAAACAAACCCAGAAGATTTAAAATTCAGTCTTTCTAAACTGTGTCTGTTCTCAAATAATTCTCTGCCAAATTCAGCGTCTGACCAAAGAAAGCAAGCAGCCCACACTGAAGTGTCCTGCCTACTACTACAGATTTTAATCTTAAAAGAACTTGGTCTCAAGTACAAAGGCCAATTTGCAACATGGGTGTGGTTTGAAATCAAGAGGCAAAATGTAGATGTCATCGACAATTTCGTTTGGATTAGGACTGTGCTTAAAATACATTAGTATATTCACACTGCCCCTTAGAGCCAGTAGATCAAGTAGATCTCCTTCCTATAGAATAGGACTGCTTTAGGAGGTCTTGCATTTTTATAAATATTCCTTTGCCATTTTAATTTTGAAATGGCAATTTGATTTTCATCATGTGAAAAATCATTTAGCAATTAAACATACACTAAGATTCCTGTAAAGTATTAGAAACTTGTGTTAAATGTTAAAAAAAAAAATACACCCTACTTTTTTTTTTTACAGTCAATAGACTAATTTCAAGCAAATATACAAAATTACCTCTGAATGGTAACTGGAAACATAATATAGAATTATATAGTGTTAGAGGCAGGAAATGCCTTAAGGGGTGTAGTCCATTCTCTTTAAATGAGGCAAGAACAAGTTCACTTAAAATCTATAATCTATTTTCACTAACTGGTTAATTCTCTGAAAAGGAAATCTGAAACACCATTTACGATGGCTCCATAAAAGTAAAGAATGGCTGTTATAAAACTGCTTTACAAAGTGAAAGAAAACGTTAAGGATTTGTATGTTATAATCCGGTTAAAAGGAAAGTACATACTGTAAAATTTCATTTATATGAAATTCTAGAAAATGCAGTTTAATGTATGTCACATGCCCTTCATGCCTTTCTTGAAACACAACCAAATTTCCAGAGAAAATATACTGATTTGATCTCAATAATGACTATGTAGAAAATGATGTGGTGCCAAGTTACTAATCAGGGCTAAGTACATGGTGCAGTCTTAGCATCTTGTGAAGACAAAAGTACAGTTTAAGTTATTACGAGAGCTCAATAAACACGGAAAAACAATTATCAGATTCAGAGTTGCTTATGTAACTGAAACTATTTAATAAAACAAGAACATTTAGAAAATGTTCCGTGTCTGCATCTTTTGGGAATGAGCCACATTTTTTTCAATCTCTGTAAACCCACACATACTTATTTGGAGACTTGCTGGTAAGAAGTATTTCCACAATATTTAAAGAATTTTTTTCTGTACTTTAGAAATATCCCATTTCTCAAACTTTTGAAATATCAGTTTAGAAGGAAGCAAGGAGGTCTCTGGGGTTCTGGTAATAATTTGATTTCTAGGTATTGATTTCGTGAAAAATCATCAAGTTATACACTTAGGATCTGTACATTTTTCTGCCTTTATACTATCCTTCAATTAAAGATTCAAAAACACACACACACACACACAAAAAAACTCAGTAAAAGATTAATTGCAAACCTCATCTTTAAAATCCTATTTTTTACTCACTTTAAATTAAACATTCTTAGCTATGTTCTTCTATTAACAACATTGTGAGAAAACAATAAGTATACATACCTTGCAGAATTTGGGTACATAAATAACATACTCAAGTCACTTAAGTTTAGTATTTGAAACCAATTCAATCATTGGTTCTAAGTACCCCAGATGCTGCAGGGCGTCTCTCATGCTCCACAAATTTAGGGAGGACATCATCATGGAGAACTCATGAACCACCTTGGGAAGACTGGCAGATGACATGGATGGACTCTTCCCACCACTTTAATTCAGCTACTAGTAAAATTGAATAGATGTCATATTTTAGTACCTTGGAAAATGTTTCCTAGAATAAGTAGGTGTTAAAACTTGTCATAAATATGTTGTTATAGATAAATGGACAGAAAGGGTGTTTGTTTTTTATATATTTTAAAGGGTGGACCAGGCAGTTGAAAGTATATGAACAAAGCTATGCAAGCGAGAGCATGTGGCAAGCAATGGGTGAGGGAAGGGAAACATCCTGGCTGGAGGGGTGGGCCTATTTCACATCCTAAGAGGGTTTTTTTCTGAATGTAAGTTACCAAAGGAGCAGGCAACCCCAATCACCCCACTTTGAGGCATAGAGGTAGTACAGTTGGAGCTCTGCCTGACATGTTAAAAAATCCTGGTACATTCTTTCCCTGGCCCTGAGCTAATTTCAGTTTAGAAAAATATCCATTAAGTCACATTTCCTCATACACGTCAATATTAATGCCTGGTGCCCTGATGTCCTATTTGTCAACAAAGGCAGACAGTGTATCTGTGGCAACAGAATAATTCCCCCCAACCAGGCTCCAAGCCCCAAACCCCAGAACATGTTACCTTACATGCAAAAGGGATTAAAGGTTAGGGCCTTGGAACAGATGGATTACCTTTGGATATCTAGACAGGCCTAATCTAATCACATGGGTCAAAGAGCAAAGAACCTTTCCCTGCTGAGTGAGATGAAATAAAAGGACAAGGAGGAAGAGAGAGTCAAGATGTGAGAGGGCTGGACCCACCCTTGGTGGCTATGAAGATGGAGGAAATGGGCCATGAGCCAAGAAATGCAGGTGGAGATGGCCTTCAGTTTACATCTAGTGATAGAAGTGGGATCTCAGCCTACCCCTTCAAGGAACTGAATTCTGCCAAACTAAATGAGCTATGAAAAAGGTCCTCCCCTAGGGCCTCCAGAGAGGAATGCAGCCCTGCCAACACCTTGTTTGCATTTAGCCCTATGAGCCCCTTGTTGGACATCTGACCTACAGAACTGTTAGTTAATCAATGTGGTACCATGTTTCCCCGAAAATAAGACCTACTTACAGGTTTCCTTCTGAGTGAAATATAAGGCATCCCCCGGAAAATAAGGTCCCCCCTAGGCTCTGTCTCAGAATGAAAATTAATTTACCATAAAGTGGTCGCTAGGGCTGCCCTGACTGGCGTCTAGCAACCAGTGACGTTACGCGGAGTCCTGACATCACTGCTGTGTGGAGGCGGAGTGGAGGTCAGAGTGAGCAGTGAATGAGGGGCGTGAGAGAGGAGGAGACTTTCGCAGATGCATGTAGAAGAACAGGAGGGTTAGAGCGGACAGGACATGGCGAAGGTGGTGAGTGCTGGTCTGTCTCTGATGACACTACCTGATGCTCACGGCCGCCCTCATGATGACTGAAGGTTCTCAGTCAGTGGCAGAACCTGCTCCAGCCCAGATCCAGGCCCCAGCAAGCTGAGTGACAGTCCCCAGGCAGGCCCCAGGGGGTAAATGTCTGATAAAGGGGTAAGGGGATGTCTGGTGAAGGTGTTCAGTGGCATAGGGGTGGGGGGAGGGGGTTCACTAAAAATGACACAGGGGGATCAGAGGGGGCAATCAAAATGACACGGAAGGATCAAAAGGGGTTACTAAATGGTTATCCCCCCTCTGATTCTCCTGTGCCATTTTGATACCCCTCTCTGATCCCCCCCCCGGTGTCATTTTAAGTGATTCCCCTCCCCCCACATTGACACCCCAATTCCTTTTTTTTTAATCCCTAGAAATGAGCGCAAAAAGAAAAAGCTACTCACTCCGTGGAGTACAAGAAAGGAATCGTAGATGACTTTTGGGGCCAAAATCTTACTGCTTTCTGCAAAGAGAAGATGTTGAGTATCCGATTGGTCCAAAAATGGCGAACAGAGTATGGCAACCTCATTGAACAAGTGGACAAAGGAAATGCTAAAAAGCGCAAGTGTGGATCAGGTCGGCAACCATTATTTTCTGAGCTGGAAGACCTGATCTGTGAATGGGTTGTTGACAGGAGAGCAAAGGCTTTGGTTGTGAATAGGGCTCAGATTCAAGAATTTGCCCTTGTAATGGCACCACAGTTTGACATAGCCCCCCGAAACTTCAAAGCATCACAACACTAGCTGGATAATTTCCTTCAGTGAAGTGAACTGTCTTTAAGAAGATCTACCAGTACAACATTGTTTAGGCTGTAAGATACTCAAGTTATTAGTCCTTTATTGATGATGCTGACTTCTCTAAATACAATCTTTCCAACATGATTGCTATGGATGAAACTGCAGTGTTTATGGGCCAATCATCTCAAACAACGTCCTTAGTGTACATTCCCTCCACTGCTTACGAAAGTGCACGTGTTTCCTGTATTTTGGCAATTCGTCTGGATGGCACTAAAATCCCACCTTTAATCATTTCTAGGGGCAAGAAGGAAAAGATTGAACATGGTTTTGGCCTTTTTATTCTTGAAACTGAAAAAGCCTGGGCCACACAAGCAGTTATAAGGAAGTGGGTCAATTTAATGTTGCCGCTTGTTATGCAAGGGAGACAAAGAAGTCTGCTAGTATGGGATGCAGCCAGCACTCACTGCACTAAAGACATGAAGACATTTCTTCACGAAAGAAAAATAGATCAGATAATGATTCCAGCAGGAATGACAGCCTATCTCCAGACTCTTGATATTGCAATAAACAAGCCATTCAAAGACAATTTGCACATGGAAATTAATGACTACATTGAAAATAGAATGGAGAGAAATCAGCGTGGAAACTTTGTGAAACCTAACTGCAAGAAGTTGTGACTTGGGTAAAGAATTCGTGGGAGAAAATCACTGACAGTTGCATTGCAAATGCACTGCGAGCAGGCTACCTTGACAAGAAGTACTCATTTAAAGACAGTGCTATTGCTAAACATGAGAGATTTGGTCCACTGATTCTGAAAGAAATGGAGTCACAAGAAATTCACCAGGAAATTCAGGAATTGGATTGTTAAGATGATGTTCCAGAAGAAGATGACATGGTTGTCATTGAATAAATGAGTAAATTCTTGATACTGTAGGATTCACAGTTTGTCTGGTTTGTGTTGACAACTATCGTACTACCGTACCGTATACAGATAATAAATTTCCTTTATTTTCATTTAACAATATATGTGTACCATATTCTTCTTCATGGAAAAATAAGACATCCCCTGAAAATAAGACCTAGTGCATCTTTAGGAGCAAAAATTAATATAAGACACTGTCTTATTTTTGGGAAAACAGAGTATTTAAGTTACTAAATTTGTGGCATTTTGATATGGGATCAATAGAAAACTAACA